ACTTATTTTTAGAAACCCATCATGCCACCCAAGTGATAAAGTGCACACATTATTTTAATTAACAAGCATTCCATTCCATTTCAAGGACTGTGGTCTTACTTAATTCAAACCTAGGCCTACTAAACTAACAACCATAAAAACAAGTTCTAACATTTTTATCGATTGTAATACATTTCGGTGGATATTTTTATATCCTATATTTATTTCCTCCGATAAATAATTTTTTTAGAATAATTATAATTTAAAGATTTATTGTGCATAAAACCATTGACTAATATAATATACCTACAGATGTTAAAACTGTTTACTCCATGGATGAAAGAAATAATAGAATTCACTTCGGTCTCTAGAATTCACAACAGAATTGTTGCTCGTAAAATGTAAACAAAAAAAAGAAGAAGAAGGTAGCTCATAATGTTATTCTTATGGGGGAAAATTAAAATGGTTTTTTTAGGATTTTATAATTATTACTGAACAAATAATCTCCAATAACGAACTTAACCGAGATAATATGATAAAGAACCTTTGTGCAAAACATCAACTTGATATACGAAGTTATATTCGAGTTATTGGAGATTGATGAGATGCATTTTACACCAGTATGAGAATTCACTTCGTTCATTCAATTAGTTATTAGTTTACATAATAAGATGGGCCAATGCCGCCCCTATGACCTATATAAAAGACTTTGGTAATGAGCAAATTTCGAACCAATTATATTCGCAATTAAACTAATAAATGCTTGTAAAAACTAAACGAAATGTAAATACGAGTCTATAAAGTCAACGCTCAAGTTTTTGAAGCTGGAACAGTTTATTTTGTCAGTTAAGTGTTAAATCTAACAAGATCCTTTTAAGATGAAGAGTAAGAGTGTTTCACTGAACGATGTCAAGCTTTGTTGCTCGGAAGGATGTCAAGGTGTTACAATAATGTCTCTTCCAACTGAGAGCACGAGAAGAAAATCCTTTTACGTGACATTTAACATATTAGTCGTAAATTACGTAAGTTAATATTCAAACAAAACAAGTACAGTTTATTTTGATTTGCTAAAACTGCATTGTATCACTTGTTATTGCGGTTTACTCGATTGCACAATTAATAATGTTTACACAAATATAGAACCTACCTACCTATACCCCTACCTATATCCCAGGATTACCAAAGTTTATAATTGCAAAGATTACAAAATATAAGTGCCAGATTATCCAAGTTCTTTAAAAATTTTCTTTACAAACAATTATATTGTTATTGTGTGCTCCCGTTGCATTTTGAATGCAAGTGACTCAAACTATTTTAAGGGAAAGCGGACTAAACGCTTCAATATGTCCTGTGGATGCCGGAAATAGAACTCGTTCCTACTACATCTCGGTCCGAGGTATAGGTACGGAGCTAGGGACACCCCACAATTACACTGTATTTACAGAGTGTCCCGTAAGTAGGTACAAAGAATTCAGGAATATGTTTATTTGGTCAAAATAAAGCGAAAATCAAGTACAATATTTTCCTCAAAAATGCCTTTTTATCGAGATATTCGCCCTTTGTGGGTTTTAAATTTACATCTTAAACCATCTATAAGATAGATACATTTATGAAACTTTGTATACACTTGTATTAAATCAAAATGTATATACGAAAAAAACTTATTACTACAAAATAATTTTTTGTTTCAAAATGGCTGCCATTTTTATTATACCAACCTAGATAACTAAAACTATTTTATAAAAAAAAAAATGGCAAGGACACTTTAAGCAGTCCTTGTCAAACGACACCATGTTTAAAAATTTCGAAAAATAAATAGCTGAGACAACGTTGTTTAGTTGTATAGGATAGGCAAAAAAAACCTGAAGTCTGGGTTCGCCTCATTTTGCGCAAAAAATGTGATTTCTTACAAATTTATTTTTTGATCTTTTTGAGCTTAGTGTTGTTTTATAGATAACAACTCTAAATGCCAAATACAAGTTTCCTTGGCATTTTTTTAAATCGGCTATTTATGGTAGATTAAGTAAAAAAACAAATAATAAAAAAAAATTGTTTCCAATTAGAAACCGAAAAAATATTTTGTACTGCTTTTTTTTACCTAAACACATTATGACTTGATAAAATTGTATACCAAGTTTCATAAAGATATCCTAAACAGTTTTTGAAATATAAATTTAAACCCCAACAAAAACAACATTGCGGATGCCTCGCAAACTAGGTTTTTTATGTGCTGATTATTCTTTAAGTTTTATTTTGGCCCAGTACACCTATATCAGAATTATTCGTACGTACTTATGGGACATTCTGCAAAGTTCTTTATTAGTCTTTGTGGGTGGTAAATAAATAAATGTCCAGGGTTTACAATAATTAACGCATAATCCTTTTATTAATCAAATTTTACGAATAGGGTTATAAATTATACAGGGTTAGTAAAAATTGTGGAGACCCCCTGTTATTTTTTTAACGGTCCATACTAGAAAAACTAAACTCGGCACACCTTTATGGCATGTTATGAAGTACTTTTTTGGCATAACTATCACTTGGTGTATATCCCCGAAATGGAGGATTTTGGGGGAAACTCAAAAATTTCAAATACAAAGACCTATCGAGTGACCCCTCATTTTGAAGGTCCTGGTATAAGAAAACAAAAACCGCAAACTAGAGGTCTTTATCTCAATCCAGTAAAAAATGGCAGCCAATTGAAATTCTCAGAAGTTGAATTTAACTTGCAGCTTTCCAAGTCTGGAGACCCCCTGTAAATTTTGTAGCGGCTCACACTAGGAAAACTAAACTCTACACACCTTTTTGGCATGTTATGAAGTACTTTTTAAGCCTAATAGCTACTTGCTTACCAAACCCAAAATGGGGGATTTTGGGGGAAACTCAAAAGTTTTAAATGACAAGCACCATCAAGTGACCCCTCATTTTGAAGGTCCTGGTAAAAGAAAACTAACATATCAAACTAGAGGTTTGTATCTCAATCCAGTAAAAAATGGAAGCTGATTGAAACCTTTAGAAATTGGAAATGACTTGCAATTTTATATTCAATTGGCTGCCATATTTTACTGTGTTAAGATAGAGACCTATAGTTTGCGTTGTTAGTTTTCTTTTATTATGACCTTCAAAATGAGGGGTCACTCGATGGGGCTTATCATTTAACATTTTTGAGTTTCCCCCAAAATCCCCCATTTTGGGTTTGGGACTTTCAATGAGAATTTCAATTGGCTGCCATTTTGTACTGAACTGAGATAGAGACCTCTAGTTTGCGTTGTTGGTTTTCTTTTACCAGGACCTTCAAAATGAGGGGCCACTTGATGGAGCTTATCATTTAAAACTTTTGAGTTTCCCCCAAAATCCCCCATTTTGGGTTTGGTAAGCAAGTAGCTATTAGGCTTAAAAAGTACTTCATAACATGCCAAAAAGGTGTGTAGAGTTTAGTTTTCCTAGTGTGAGCCGCTACAAAATTTACAGGGGGTCTCCAGACTTGGAAAGCTGCAAGTTAAATTCAAGTTAAATTGGCTGCCATTTTTTACTGGATTGAGATAAAGACCTCTAGTTTGCGTTTTTTGTTTTCTTATACCAGGACCTTCAAAATGAGGGGTCACTCGATGGGGCTTAAAATTTGAAATTTTGGAGTTTCCCCCAAAATCCCCCATTTCGGGGATATACACCAAGTGATGGTTATGCCCAAAAAGTACTTCATAACATGCCATAAAGGTGTGCCGAGTTTAGTTTTTCTAGTATGGACCGTTAAAAAAATAACAGGGGGTCTCCACACTTTTTACTAACCCTGTATGATGAAACTATTATCTCAGGGTTCTAGGGGTATCGTGCCGGCTCAAAGTAGACTTATGTGATTTTGATAGGCATATGCCTAATGTCCATCACAAGTTACCGTTCAATTACACACTTTTGGAAAGATGAAAGTTCAAATTTGGAATTTAGTAAAATATTAAAATGGTAATTTAAGTTGGTTTAAGTTCAAAACGGCAAAAGTCAATGAAAACTCTTGGAATGTAAGTATTTTAACAAAGTAGGCCTAAATAAAGTTCATTTGGATCTCACCCAAAATATATTTCTCGATGTAGAGATAATACTAAATAATTAAAGACAAATATTGATGTTTAAATACTGCACACAGTTGCAGCAATACTGTTTAAGTTTTGTAAAATAGTTCAAAAGGTAGAAATAACTTCCAGTTATTACAAAGTTTAGCTTTTAAATAATAAATGACAATGTTTGAGGTGAACATGAAATATGGAAAATTTACATTAGGTGAAATCTTTTGCTCTTTTACTGTATGAAAACGTGTGATAATTTAGAGCTATTAATTGAACTAATAGTAGGCCTAGGTATTTAGATACACAACACATGGTTTATAAACAAATTATATAAAAATTTAAAAGTAAACAAGGATGATAATTGTGGAACATCTCAGTTAAATAATAAAACAGATAAATAAACTTTTATACCAGCGAAGTTTATCAATGAACATTGATAAACTTCTAACTTTCATATTAACTTTTATATTAAACGAGCCTTAGATATATTTAAGCAAATAATTATACCATACAGATAAACTTCGTAAAAAATAAGTGAAAACATAGGAAAGCTCTTAGACTGATGTGCTGTCATCTTTGCCCCCCCCCCCAAGTAAATAGTTAATTAATAAAGAATAACTTGTCTTTAAACTTAACGATCCGATGTTAAAACTAAACATACTGCATCTTTTACCTAGTTAAAATAAACGTTTGTCCTCTCGACATGCGCAGAGATGTAAGAAAAAGATCTTAGGTGTAGGCCTATTGCTAATCTAGAGGTTAGCTGTTTGGACTTTGCACCACTTACCCTAAAAGGGCTTGAGTTCTCTGTACAACACCTTCAGTAAAAATGGTATCAAAACGTGGATCAAAATGGATAACAAAATTACCTTAATAATTGATTAAGGATAAAACTGTGAATCTAAGTATCATTAACTATCTCACCTATGCAAAAAGAAAAGTCGGTTTGTACCTTTTTACCTGCTGAAATCGTGCATAGAGAGATCGTTGATGTAAAGACCCGTGGAGACGAGAGAGTTGAGGTCTGGCATGACGGGTGTGCCGAGGTACATGAGCATCCGCCAGTTGTCCATGTAGATCATCTGGCCTATAAAAAGATGAGATTTTGTGGGATGATAATCAAAAAAGTAATTTGTGGACCTACAAATAACCAACAAATAATAATCTACCCACCCTCACAGTTCTTGAACCACTGTCTTTCATCGGGATAATGGACAGTGGTTAAATCTAGTGGTTAAAAATCTTTCGCAGTTCCTAGTATTTGTTTTTAAACCAATGAATAATTTGGAAAAGGGTTTTCTAGATTAGGTGAAAATCTAAAACTTGGCACGTTTTAGTTATTGTGCCCATTAAAAAAAGTAAAATTTTACAAATACAACCCCCCCCCCCCAAATATTAAACCCTCCCACCAATGTTATTCTTACAGGTGCATGAGTCTAAATCACGTTTACCCATTTCTAGATTAACTGGATATCTGAAATTTGGCACGATTGTAGCTCTTGCGCCATGTCCCCCGTGGCTCATTAACCCCCAACCAAAAATGGTTCAGCGAGCCAAAGGCGAGTGAAGCTCTAACGGATCATGGCTATAATGGAGGCTTCTCAAGGAGAAGGCAAAAAGAAAAAACAGCTCGGCGTATGAGGATACTGGTAAAGGAATCTGAATGGTGGGTTTTAATTGGAAAAATCCTACTCCGCCAATAAGGTTTATTAATCAACAAACTTGTTAGGCAATACCAAGAGAACAGTAACATGACTTAACCGAATACATTACAACATAAAGTTATGTTTAATAGATTACATTCCTTCTCCCTTAACTTTATAACCATAAAAAAAATCGACAATGAAAAAACCAGGACTGTATTTAACTCCCACAGATTGACGGACACTTTAAGTTGCTTTGTAGGCAACAACCGTGCAATCTCCAATTTTTGTAGTGTTTGTGAGTTTGCTCTTCGTCCTCGGTTATAGACTGTAGTTCCAAGTTACTAGAACAACTACCACTAGATTGCCAGTCCTCTTGTTATAAAGGTCCACTGGAATACGTGTGCTTCTTCTTATAAGTTTGAAGCTTCAATACGGCTTTGGGGTTTTGCTGCTATGATATGCAAAAGCATTAAAATGTTATCAGATTTGCCAACAGGGTGCAGCACTATTATTTTTTTGGAATTTATGTAAACAGCTTATTTGAACTAAGCAAAACAAAAACCATGATATGTACACAATGAGAACTGTCAAAGTAGGATTGTTTCCAGTTATGTTTATGTTTTTATTTTCATGAATAATTATTTGTGGTATTTTGCTAATTTTTTATGATTTATTTTTCTCTATTGTTTAGGTGAAGTGGTAGAACATTATGGCTATGGTAGATGAGTAATACTATAGTATACCGTAAATTTAAAGAAGCAAATTTTATAAAACTGTGTCCTCCCCCAAAACGCAGAGCACGAGTATAACTGCAATAATCATTTTAGCCAACCCCGTATGAAGGACGGGTAAGCTACTCTGCTAGTATGTTAAATAGATGGGATGTCTTACCTTAATGTCCAAAAGAATATTTTAAAATACAAAAAAAAACTATGACTAGTTAACAGTAGTCATTGTTTTAAACCAAATAACGATAATCTTACAAAAATATTGATGTTAATGCCTTACTCGACAGAGGTGTTAGGGTCTCCGTATATCTCTGAGAGAGACCGAGAACTATGCCCTATGGAGAATCTCTATCTCATCTTGGTCAAGTCTCTGCCTGTCATCCTCGGAGAACTTGAAGTCCTTGCTATTTGCACTAAAATTAGCGTAGCTTCCAAACGAGTTGTAACTTTCTTAATTCCTTCTTTTATAGCTGTAATTCTAAAACTGGAGCTTTACAGGAATGTCAGTTAAAATAAGTGTTTCCCCTTTTTCTTACCACATTTTCGTTGAGTTTCCGGGGACCTGCCTTTGGATACGGAGCAATATCATCTGGTGTGAGAATGCGGCTCTATTCTTCGAAATTGGAGTACTTGCAGTTTTAATGTTAATAAGGCCCACTGGATGGTCCTGACTATAGTTCATGTACCTTTTTGCTTGGCTGGGCTCCTTTGGTATTGGGACTGAGGTATTCCCTTCAAAAACCTCAGGTTTGGTCTGTTGTTGATGCAGGAAGAAAGTCTTCATCATTGAATACAAATGTATGGATGCCCATTGCCTTAAGCCATGAAATAATATTTCTTGGCTTAATTACAGAGGGGAAACCGTGCCAATAACTTCTTCGATGTTGTAAACGGTCATTGGAATCCCTGGGCGGCTAAGTAACCATTGTTGAGTTGCCCTGTCGCATGCTCCTTTAATATTACAAACATGTTCTAAAGGTTTACTATAACTCCCTGAAAACCCTACGTGAAGCGTAATTACTTTATGATTTCACAAAGCAATTACCCTAGTTGTTTGTATTACCAATCACCAAGTCTTCAGTATATTGATTCACTCTACATCAGTAGTTGAACCAGCAAACAGTGACTTTGTATAATTATTGTGTTGGGGGTAGAGTAGTGGTTTAGATTTATAAATGAGTGTATGAAAAACTGTCTCAACTTCTTGCTAACTGCTTTCACGAGTTCAAGGAGGAAAGTTGCAAAGCAACATAATCGACTTAAGAAGCCTGAGACGATTACGAACAAAAATCGTCAAAAGGAAAAGGAAAACCAAAGATCCATCTGAACCTCCGAAAATACCACAGCTTTAGAGGTTTAAGAGGAAACACTCTCTTTTTATATTTCAAGACACAATACAGAGAAAAAAAAAACAATAAAAAAACAAAATCTACCTATAATATATGTAGAACTACATAAGAATGTGTTATTATCCTTGATATTCGTTATTTTAGTTATTTACTTGGTTATTAATTTGTGTTTGGGAAAAATATAACGTAAAACTGGTGGATGTATAAATAATATGATATTCTCACTTTTTACAAATCTGGCAGGTTCATACTGGTATGTATCCATTTACGGTATTTGATATTAATATAGTTTATTACATCTAAGATATTTATTTGAGAAACGTATAAATTAAGCGCATCTCTACTGCTCTTCCTACTACATATTCCCAAACCACGGTGAATATATCGGCCATTTATTTGTGTTGTACACGTTTTGTGTTGTACACGTGTTATCGACTACAGTATCGCGGAGTGGGGGAGGGGGTGGGGGTTGGTCAAGGGGTGTGAGGAATTGTTTGATCACAAGCAGCAATCTGTTGGCCATTAATCGTCGACCGTCTGCAGCGCCGCTAGCGCGGTGTCTAGGGACGTGAACGTCACCGACAAGTAAGAAATATTGCTAGACGTCAATTACGGAGAACCCCCACTCTTAAAAGCATTGAAAGGCAAGGTTATTTTAGTTTTATATTTTTATATTTTCTCTGGAAGCAACACAAGGTACAGATAATTTATAACAGTAGCATATAAGAAGTGTACTAGTTCTAATATAAATCATACTATAAAATAAGGATCCTATTCACAGCACTGGCTTTTAAGTAATTTAGCACGTTAGATAACTCGTCTACACCAACTGTAACTTAAAACATTTTAGGATGAGACACTCTACAGTGAGCTATGATCGGAAAGGTATTTTTTTCTCTGTTCTATAAAGTATGGCACAGTAGTTCTGTTAACTAAGTTTTCCTTTCAGGTTAGTTTGATTTAAACAGTGGGTTTATATAACTTAAATCAGTATCGTAATTGACGGAAGCACACCAGCTAGAGCTTAATTCAACTTAACTGTAACTTAACGTAAGTATGAATAAATAATTATTGCAAAATGTAGTGAGATGCGTATTGTACTTTTCCTACTGACTAAGGAGCAGCTGTTCCATTCGCCAGATCCATTTTTAAATTCCAATGGTTAACGTCAGCTGTGTTCTGTTTTGAGCCATCAGCTACTTACTTTTCTCGAAATCAAACCAGCGGCCATATTGTTACCAAGAGTCTATTAAAACAATGTAGCAACTCAACTATAATACTTTGAATTCAGTACTATCAACAGCAGTGGCCATAACTGGGTATATGTGCAAGGTGTTATTGCTTCGAAAACTAAATGTACAATGCAGTTGGCTGCTTGCAGTATTTAACTGAGCAAGCTCATTAATACTTTTGTTAAATGTACTGTCCTCATAATAAGTAGTTTTTTATTTAATATGTTATGTTTGACTTAAAATGAATTACAAAAGAAATGCTAAAACAGTATAATTGATCTTTTATTTACACAATCCACATTTAGAATAACATTAATACAATAACAATTCTTAAGTTTATGGCTGAATAAGGGAACATTGACATAGCAGTTTTCTAGGTTTTGTCGCACAAACCGTATCATTGTTGATAGACTTGAGAAGGCGGTCTCGAGCAAAGCCTGGTTCAATTATACGCCTTCAATAGACCGAACCTGTCACACTACAACGCATGTAAGATCTAGGACAAACTCTGACTTAGGCAATTTGAAGAAAACACTTTCTTATTGTGCGACATGCATTATTTTTACGGAATCCAACTGTACATAGTAAGACAGGGAGAAAGCCATTACATATTGTTCATTTGTATTCATTAAAACGGACCATAATACATATTGGAAAATCACGCATAGTATATCTATTTAGTCTATAAACGATATCAACTACAGTTCCCAGACTACCGTTGCATAAACCTAAGAGACGTATAAATGTTTTGGCGTAGTATTAATTGACAACCTTGAGGGAGAGCTGCAGATTTACCTGTAGTTGCAATGAAAGTCGAACTCTTCTGTAAAGAAGGCCTCAGAGTAGAGCGGATCGTTCTTTTCTTATGATGAGGTCTTGCTCAAGTGCTGAGGTTTAGGCACAGAGTCAAGCACCTTCTCGGGCGCGGGTTTTACGAAAGTGTTCGTTGACGCTGACGATTTCCTCTCGTACTTTTAGTTCGATTGTTGGAAGGTTCACAATTTTGAAAACTTTTGAAATTGGCTCGAGTCGGGGTCTTTAGATTGCCACCCGCCGCGGCCTCGAGATGCACCTCTACCTCTGTAGGATCAAGCAACAGCTGGGTATCCATTAAAGTTTTGAGAATAATAGCTCCAGTGTCAAATCTATCTGGTTTTACACAAATCTTTCCATGGTATAAGTTTGAGGTAACGAAAAAGAAATTATGAATAGTCTAACATTTGAATTGATAAGATGAATAGATTGTAATGAAAGTAAAACCCCAGATTAATTACAAACATAATAAAGGGTTTTATTCATCTTAAAACTGAACTATGAACAAGTAATTTCATTATAGTGGAATATAAACAGAGATGAGTATTTACTAATTAACATATGACAATAAACATATTAAACAATTAAATCATGTGAGGTAAGTTTAGTTGTATTTTATCAGATTTTATTCACTACTGTAGTCCTTGTGCTTCCTCATCGGAAGCATATTAAGATCTTATGTTTTCATTTTGTTAAAACTGCAGGTTTGTTATGAACAAGTAATTGCATTATAGTGGAATATAAACAGAGATGAGTATTTACTAATTAACATATTACAATAAACATATTAAACAATTAAATCATGTGAGGTAAGTTTAGTTGTATTTTATCAGATTTTATTCACTACTGTAGTCCTTGTGCTTCCTCATCGGAAGCATATTAATATCTTATGTTTTCATTTTGTTAAAACTGCAGGTTTGTTAGAGGACCGCAACATTTGTTGATTGTTCTAATCTATGGCGTGTTTCTTAGCTTTTATTACATATTACTTAGCACATGATACATGGTACATGGTATTACGCTTTAATTTTAGCAGCGTTGTTTGATACAAATCGAGTATATCCAAATCATACGTTTGTCAATCGCTGAGAGCAAATGAGTTCCAACCATTGAAATCGCATCTCAAATAATGATTTTGACTATGAAAGTCTTTCTGCAATAAGACACTCGGTCTTGCCTGTTCAATTGGAAACTATACCACAACCTGTTTGTATTATACTTAGTGCTGTGTGTATTGTTTGCCAGTGTTTATTAGCAGCCACGCCTGTTGGCGTGTTGGCCCCAAATAGCACTCGAGCTACCATGTATTTGGATTCAATCGTATTTATCATTTGATGTATGATAAACGACGTTCCTGCTGCAGCTACTCCTTGCACGAGTGCAAGCTATTCGCTCGAGTTATTCCCTGGTTAGCGTACCGCCTGTCCAGTATATTTTGTTGACCCTCGATTCTTGAATTAAATTGATTCTTGATTATTGAAGTAAACGATTCTTTCCATGTTACGTGCGTTGATGTACGCCGATGTTTCCCCATGCGAAATGCATTAGTAAATTTTGCTTGTAGTTGCTTGTAGATGACCCCGTAATTTTCTTAATTTACTCTTAATTTACTACTTTCTTAATTTACTAATTAGAGGTGTAACAACTACTAGATGGCGCTGAAGGACGCGCTATTTTCTAAAGATTATAAGCTTACTACAATTAATCTTGTGCTTTGTGGCAAACTCGCATAATGTCGTTGGTTCTCGCATTAGTGGCCCATAGTATAGTGATCCAAAATAGAACTTGGTTAACCTAGTCGGTATCCGTAGCTGTCGTATTCGCCACTTAAACATAGTCATCGGTTGAAATGTAGAGTTTTACAAATTGCCTATTGAAATGATGCAGAAGCTCACCCGTGAGAAGATGCATAACTTCGCACGGTGAAATATCACGTTGAAAGCCACAGTAGGTTTCAACCCACTAGACCTTCGCGATCACGTGACGACCTAAATAACTTTGGTGATTTTTTTTTCACTTAATCATACTTTGTGAAAAGTGTTAAAACATCTTGTGTTTGGGGTTCTTCTTTTTTGCACATTTCACAATATCGTGTTCAGATGCGATAATCTTGCGGCCAATGTACGCTTGCCATAGTTGGGCTGTGATCATTCAATAGTTTATCGTTGCGCTTTACTCTATATTGCCAGACTCCTTGTTTATCTTTTGTCCATGTAGAATCCAACAATTTGGAAACCAAACCGAGATTCTAGAGGGTGTGAGGGTTCTTTTAGGTAGTAAACACTGTGTTAAATGCTTCACTGTACTCTGTTCAATAGTTGTGCGACATCTGATCTCCGAGGACTACATCAGTCGTCCAAAAACTTGAAGGATGTTTTTCTGCTCGTCGTACGTCTATTCCTGGATCATACACTGACACTATAGTATCATAATTAGCTTTATAAGCTACAAATTATTCATCGATCGACGCAGTATCGACGTACGGACATCTGGTGGATTTTCAAGCGCAAAATAGCCTTACACCATAACCATGAGGACTTCTATACTATAGCGTTGGTATTCAAACGCCACAAACAATCACTAATGTTCAAAGTTTCCTTCAAAATATACATGACAATGCAAACACTCTTGGAAAAGTACTTGTCTGCAATAAGTAGGGTTTTGGATTTACATCGCTATATTATTGTATACTAGCAGAGTAGGGTTTGATGTATGTTTGAATCGTGGTTATTGCAATCTTAAATACAAAACAGTATAAATAAGTAAAATCAAGGGAGTGGAAACAATTTTTATGTTAACGTAAAAAAAATACATTTACAATGCAGACTTATAAACAATATTTACAGCTTTGTTATCTTTCGTGAAAATATATGGGTTTTTTATACTGGAAACACGTGAGCAAGCAACGTATAATTGCCCATGGGAGAAACATTGTGTCTCCGAATACAGGCCTGACCCGGTGGAGTCTGTCCTTGTGCTTCATTAATCGTCATAGATAAGGCAATTTTTACGGGGAATGTACGGGCTTTAAATTGAAGGGGATTTTTTTCTGTTAAAGTTGGTATCGTGTGAATGAGTTCTTCTTTTTATTCATTTGCAGGACTAGTTAGCTTCCATTACATTTTCTTTTAAAGAAGTAATTAAAAGCCTGGTACCGTTACACAACCTAGGTGGCCTCTAGGTTCGTAACCAGTATAACTGGGATGCCCACTTGCAATTCAAACTTGTAGGGGTGAACACCAGGCAGTTCCAGGGTGTTAAGAAACTCATCAGGGTAGTGAAGAGCTTTTTTCTTCTATAATTGAACCAATAGACAAATAAGGTTTGATTTTAACATGAATAATGTTCATAATTTTACTGTTGATCTTGTTTACATCATCATTTTGGGGGCTAAGATAGATCTGCAGGATAACCATTCAGAATCGTAATGATTGTTTGGTAAGTCTAGAAACACATTTGATATAAGCTCTTCCCCAGAAGCAACAATGTGACGAATGTTTTCAGGGAAGAAAAACATCTTATGTTGGTCAATTATTCTACCCTCGCCAATCTTGAGCAAATTATTTGAGAATTGGCTGTCGTCACGGTCGTTATGGAGACTTACCCTCATGTTTTGAGCCAAACGGTACTGCTCAATAAGTCTCCATAGCAGAGACTTTTTCAAACAGTTTTTAATTTTATCTGCTGGAGTCCCACGTTGGATAACTACTGGTAGGGTTTGTTAAGTCACCTGGCAAAAAAACAACTAAGCCCCCCATTAAATTTTGACTATTTGTGCTATCTTGAAGTGTTGCATTCAATGCTTCAAAGGCTTGTTTGTGAGACATCGTACATGCATCCCACGCCAGTAATTTACAACGTCAGAGGACTTCAACTCGATCAGAGGTTTATACATATTTACATACTTACTATTAAAACAAACACAAACACAATTAGCATTAGTATTTATAGACACCAAAGCCAAGTAAATATACAGCTTAATTTTTTAATTGTTGTTTTTAAATTGAAATATTTGTGTACCAGCTTACAATTAGTAAATTTAACAAAATTTAAGCAATGTTTTTGTCAAGGAAGTTAAGTTATGAAGAAGTTAGATTAAAATATCAGTAGGCCTACATGTAATGACGATCAAACGCACATGAAGGATTGCTCACAATTAGAATAGAGTTTAAAATCTACTTGAAGTATCAAAAGTTAATTATAGAGGCAGGTAGCAGCAACCTCTGGATTAAAAAAACATAACATCATAACTAAGGGTAGTAATTTAATATTATGGTTTCAAAATATACAATTAATTATCTCTTTGTTAAAGAAAAACTCTTTTTTTTAAGGTTTGTGCCTTGATCTAAACACATGTTAAGTATATTAAAATTGTAAACATAAATATTTTTTAAAATAATTCAAGTAATATAAAATCATAATTTTACCATTTTTTCACAAAAATCCGTCGATAAAATCTTTACATTAGCAAAATTTTAAATAAATAATTAGGGTTAGAAGCTAGTTTGATACAGTTACAGTAGTACAATCTTACTTATTCCCTATCATCAATAATCAATGAACCATAATAATATAAGAATAAATAAACCTGTCACGTGGTTGTACAGAATATCATATGCCTATTTAATTTTTGAACGAGCGGTGTGGAATTGTGAATTATTATGCTTTGACAGTTCTGCTTGTTTACATTTGGGTGGCATAGCAAAATGTAAGCATGTGAGTGTACCGTGGAGACCAATCAATATTTATTTTTAAAATCCTTACTTCAGAACTTTTAAAGCCAAAGGGACAAGGCCCACCGTCATCGAAGTGTGAATTGTTCTATTACAATCCTTGGTATGGTAGCTATATTTTTGTAAAATTTAAGCCCAGTCAGTTCAGTAGTTTTTACATTATTTAGTAACAAAAATACAGACACCATTAGATTTTTATATAATAGTATATATTATTCGCTGTATTATCTTCGAACGACCTCGTTACATATTCTCACGAATTCAACCACGCAACATAAAGCCTAACTTAATTAGTTATTTATTGTTGTCCAATTGCATTTAAGAAGTAGCTTATAAAAGAGAATGAGTTACCTTTAAGCCTGAGACTCTTCTCGTCTGGACTGCCGTCGTCCTCGAGAAGCTCAAGCTCTCTAGAGTCTCCCTTACACACACGGTGTTCGCCAGTACGTTCCCCCAGTACTGGCTCCACTGTCACTAGCTCGAAGATGTTGTTGGTGCGGTTCAGAATCTGAGAACGCCAAGAGTTATATTGTTATCGATGCGCAATCGTTTGTTTTATCAAAGGATGTAGCAAAGTGAATAGGTAGCTGAAATGTTTAAGTCAATTTTCAGTTAAGAGTCTTATTGCTACTTTGGTAAAAAACAATATCGACAGAAGTTCTAGCAAATTTAGCAGTATTCCCTTGTGGATTCACTAACAGGAATCTTCACTATGCGTCATCTAAAACGATTTTTTTGCCCTCATTTGTAGTTTGTGACATTTCAATTTCTAACAATGATATATGTGTTTACCTTCTCAAGTCGCTGGCATTATTATATTGTTTGTCTAATAGTCTTCAAATAATCGTGGTTTCATTATAATATAATAACATGTCTCAAAAAAATTAATTCAAAGATTTCATGTAATGATAGTTTTACAGCAAGTAGAAAAAAATCGTAAAGTTTCTTATGGTATTATAATGCGCTATATGTATATTTTCTTATGTATAAAGCTCTATACAGTATAAAAGCTAGGATGGATCTGGACGTAAATATGTATAGTTGAAAATTCTAGACTGTCTTATTAATCGACAGTGCAAATGTAGAAAAATGAAAGAATTTATAAAGATACGATCCGTGATTAGAATAAATACTTAGAATAATTTTCAGCAAAAAATGTCAAAGTCTCAATTTCCAAGTCTGCTCTAAGCTCAATAATAATGCAATGAAACATACATTATTTTATTCGTTGATTGTTTAACTTTGCGTTATAATTGTGATAACAACATCCAAACTCAGTTTTTAGTTTTTTGAAATTTAAATTCAAAAGGCGATATAAACAAAGACCAATATCCTACCAAATTTTCATTTGAGTGGTGATTGGTGCTTGTAAAGGAAAAACTAATCTACTGGGAATCTCCATTGCTTTGTGGGCCCTCTGTTGCCTAAATGGACCGCTTAAATACAAATTTCCCTTACGGCTGTTACATACAATCTAGAATTTTTAACTTTACATATTTACTCTTTTTTATACATTCCATTTTATTGTGTATCGTACATCGCTACTAAATAATAGTTTGAATAAGCTAGCAGACACGATTTTCTATTCAATTTCGAACTCCTTTTATAATTATGTAGACAACGGGAGAGAACGTAGATAGTATATGGCGATTCTTCACCACCTTACCTACTCAAATGCAAACCCAGTGGCTCTGGAGTTTCCCATGTTAACCTTATGAATATTTATATTTTAAGTGGAATTAATGAATCTTAACAGCTGTTTCAATTAAACATGTTGGTTCTGTTCTATGATGTTCAATAGCATTAAAGTTACAAGGATTACCAACAGGGTGCAGCACTATTATTCTTTTATTTTATGACAACAGCTAATTTGCAACCAAAAGGTGAGTGAGCGTAGCGAACGAACTTCAACCTGGAGGCGAGTTAGCGTGGCGAACGAGCTAACCTGAAGGCAAGTGAGCGCAGCGAACGAGCTCCAACCTAAAGGTGAGTGAGCGTAGCGAACGAACTTCAACCAGGACGTGATTGAGCCATGCGAACGAGCTCACTTATGAAGTAAAACGGGGCAAAGCCCGCGGGTACAGCTAGTTTAATATACATTAATGTTTTCAGTAGAAAGCGAACAGCTGATTTTGGTTCGAGGGCCGTAATAACCTGCTCCACTCAACGTTTGTAAAACGGCTAAAAACATTGTAGTGTGGTTAAAACGTTATTATTGGTAGTTAATGATTTTCATTACTACCTTATGGCTTTAAAACTTATTTGTATAATGAAGATGTGACAAGTAACAGTTAGTAAGATGGAGAACCTTTATGAGAAAAAAAATTATCATTAAAACTGTGCCCGATAACAATTTAAAAAATTACATCTAACTAATATGAAATTTATAACAACAAAGAAGGCAACACAAATCATTACAGGTAATACAACTTTCATTTGCAAATCATTAGGTCGTAAGAGCTGTGATTTGGGTTTCCAATTTCATACACGATCTGTAAGCTTTCAATCAGGACTGGGGATTCACTTTGAGGAAGGCAGTTGTAATGGCTTGTGAATGACACGTTCGTTAAGCTTCAAAGGAACAGAAATGTCAACATCGTATCTGGAATGTTTCCTAGACTTGTATACAGGTTATGAGGTGGCAGGATAAAACAATTCAACTATTTCAATGTAACTTTAAAAAACTATTAAAGCAATTAAAATATGGCTAAGGTACTGTTGAGAGTGTAACGTGCAAAAATTGGAGTACTGAATGGTTAGAGAAATAATAAATATTAGGATCCACAATGCATAAGTGAAGATTATACTTTTTACGATGCAAATTCCGTTAAGTTAAAAAACCTGCTTCCAGTGTTTGTACATTTTGAACCCTCAGGGACATTTGACACTAAGCAGTCTATACTTGGAACTATTTGATAGTAAATTGGGGTTAAGGAAGGTCTTTGGGGAGACCCTTACCAGACCAACTTACATCCTTTAATGATACGACATTTTAAAGGAAAACTTTTTTACTGCATAAATATAATTCTATTTACCTTGTTTTCAGAATGATAATTACTTACCGCGGCAATAAGAAATAACTATTGAGGTTATTTCATACTATTGCTATATTTTATAATGTGTATAGTTTGTTTGAGGATTGTGATACTATGTTTGTAATTAATTTAGGGGAGTGTGATATAAAATATGATGTAAATCTTTTTACTGTAAACTCTCCTCACAACATTCATTTTAGATTAGGCCTATTCTATGATGGTTTAAAGTTAATAACAAAGATATACGAATTACAAAAGGTATTTTATTGGAAAAAATGAACAAACATGCAATGAAATATAAAAGGCCACATATTGCGTTATAATGAAAGGACTGACAATGGAGTGTGCCCTGAAAATAAAATAAAAAAGAAGATAAGTTTGAAATAAAGGTTCAAATTTACAATAGTATATAATTTAGATGTGCTTTATCTCAGGGTAGGGTGTCGTGCTGGCTTGAATGCTAAGAATTAATAAAATAAATAGTGTCCAAATAAATAATGTGTTAAACTTACAACATCCCAACAATGAAAAATCTAATTTTGAGGTTGTCCAAAAGATAAGTCCAATGTGCACTGAATTTAAGAGAGTTTAAAAGAAAAGTTTATTCTTAATTTTGAAAAATTATGTTGGAGTTAGTCCTCTTGAGGTTGACTGTAATATAACTTGAATATAAACTGGTTTTTCTTAAATCTGGACTCCTTCTTTTAACAGTTTCAACTTTCAACTATGGCTTCCCTTATTTTCAATCTCAATGTTCATTGTTGAACACATGGATCACTGTTTCACTGCTTCTTGAATTTTGAATTTTTTCTTAAGGACTAATTTTGAAATTATATTATAAGAAATTTTGATGTATTGCAATTCTCTTACATATTTAATAAATAACAAAGTTGTGGGCTTTGTAACAGAATATATGGGCTATGGAATGAATATTATTAATGATTAATTGAACAGATTAATGAAATTGTATAAATTATGAAAATGAATACCAGGCCAGCCTTTCTGAGGAGTGATTAATAACAAAAGTGTATGAACAAAAAAGTTAACATATTTTAAGAAATTTAATACTAAATAATGGATTAATGAAATGAAATATAACATTACTCGAGTTTTAATTAGATATAATTCAGCAACATATTATTTTTTTACTAAATTAAAAGAAGATTAGATTAAGGATGTATTTACAATTCTGTCACATTATGACGGCCAAGTCTCAAATTTATAAAGTCACAAAAAAATTATATTCATGATTATCTGTTTAGAAGACAATGTAGTAGAGAAAATTACAAATTTTTCAACAAATTCGTTGAACCTGAAAATTGGCAGACTGGTGTTTTTACTCTTGTCGATAAAAAAAAAACTAGATTTATTTGCATAAATCTTTTTTTCTATGATTTATTATTTCCATAAGAAGAATCAATTTAAGAACTACAAGGAAAACTGGGATAAATAACAAGTTAATGAAAAGGAAAAAAACTTATTAAGATTAATAAATATCTTCTCGTGTTAGTAATGGCTTAAATTTGGTAGTATTATGCAGATAAAAAACTAAATCTATAGGAAAATGTATTGATGTAATAAAAATTAACTAACTTATGAAAGCAAGATTAAGAATTCTTAAAATGGAATTAAATCTACTTGGGATATTATCAACTCAGAAACATTGCAGGATACAGTTTATTCCAAGGATAAAATATTAAATTGAAACAAAATAGCTACATATCCTCTTGAAATTAGCAATTTGTTTAGTCCGTATTTAATCAATATTGTGGAGAACCAGTCTGTTAATGCGCCCCTCTGTAGCCATAATTAAAGACCAGTACTTTTGCTATCAACAATATCCTAAATTCATGAGGAAATAGCGAAATTCTATCCTAGAAGACTTTGTACTATTGTGTTAATCTTCGCGTTGACAGTTTACCGTCATCCTTCAAGATGGAACCAACTATAATGAAAGCTTTTCCTGTTAATTATGATGAATCAAAAGTATAATTTAAAATAAAACAAAAAAAAAAACTCCGTGAAAGTGGCCGATAGTACAAAATTGTAATGAAGTAAAAGTAAAAGAAAACCCAGCAAAAGATCCTGAGTGTGTAAAGGTAAATTTGGAACGTTGAGTTAATAGTCAACTTGCAACCCAGTATGGAAAAAATTGTTAAACAACTCAATTTTAACCATTTTAGAAACTATTTCAGGAACAGTGCAAGTGCAAGAATATGCTCTCAGGTTTTAGATTACCATATATTGAAGCTTTTTGAAGAAATTCATAACTCAGATTGGGCAGCTCAGAACAACTACTTGCTTCGTCTGCTTAGGGGGATTCCCAATCAAAGACGACGTCACCAAAAAAGTACATCTTAACTTTTTTATAGATGTATAATTAATGTTAAAGAATAACGAGGTGTTAGCCCGTCCTACGTACGGGAATTCAGTAGTCAGTTAAAACCGTGTAGTGACCAATTCAGATCAGCTA